GTGAGTTCGGTTCCTGGTACCGGAGAAAAACCAAAAAAAAAAAAAAAAAAAAGAAAAAGGAAAGCTCTCTGCTTTCTGCCTCTTGCTTGTCCTGCCATGAGCTGTTTCTCTACTTCAATGCCTCTGTGCCATGCGGCCTTGCTTTAGAGCCAGCTGCCTATGGACTGAAAAAACTACAAACCGTGAGCTAAAAATGAACATTTCCTCCTTTAACTTGTGGATGCTGGGTATTTTGATCCCAGCAATGAGAAAGTAACTAAGACACATTTGTCTGAGAAAGTCTGTATTTCCCCTTCACAGCTGAAAGATAATTTCACTGGATATCAAAGCCATGCTGACAGACTTTTACTTACCTGCTTGAATGGTTTCTGAAGAGAAGTCTCACATGGTCCTTGTAAAGTGCTCCGAAAGCCTCATCCCTACTTTTCTCAAGATTCTGTCTTTTTGTCTGCAGTTTGAATCCTACATGCCTAAGCACAGTTTTGGGGCTCTGCCCATCTACTCTCATCAGAGCTCCTCGATATGTGGTTTGATGTCTATCATTAATTTTGGAAATATATCAGGCACTACTTAATCAAATATTTCTTCTGTTCTTTTCTCACTTCTTCGGGTTTTCCCATTATATACACATTACACCTCTTGTAAGGATTCCACAATTCTTCAACAATGTTTCATATTCTTCAGTCTTTCTTCTTTTCCCACTGATGCTTCAATTAACATTTCTTCAAATGCTCTGACACTTTTTTCAGCCATCAAAGGCATTCTTCATTTCTTTTAGCAATTTTTACTTCTGCAATTTTTTTCTTAGTTTCCATCTATTCTGCTAATATTACTCATGTGTTACATATTGTCTGCTTTCTGTTGAAGCCCTTCACCTAAAGTCATAGTTCGTTTAAATTCCTGCTTTGCTAACTCACATCTCTACTATATCAGAGTGGAGTTCTTCATTCTTTGTTTCTTCAAATTGTACGTTAGTCTTCTGGCAAACTGGACATCCCACGTTCGTTAAGGCAACTCCATATCAGCCCCACACCCTTCCGCTATGATGTGCAGCCTCCCACAGGCCCAGGAACAAGGGGCCAGCAGACTAAGACCAAAACCTCTACTGGCATGAGCCAAAGTAAACCCTTCCTCCTTTAAGTCATTTTTCTCAGGTATTTTTGTCACAGCAGCAGAAAGCTGGCTAACACACCTGTGAAGACTCCACTCCCATCCTTCATACTCCTCATGTCTCCACCATTCTCTCCTTGACAGGTGCCTTATCTACACTGCCATGGCAGGAAATGACTTTACTCCTCATCACCTGCACACCCAGACACATAACTGCAGGCAGTTCTAGCACCCTTTCCTAACGCCATCTGAAATGAGCACCAGCAGGCTCTGGAGGATGGCTTCTGGCTGGACAGCTCTCCACTGTGTGTCCAGGCTAATTCTCCAGGCTGCAGACAGGCAGGGGTGAGGTCAGACAAGGACTAAAAGCCAGTTAGTTCCCTGTGACTTCCTTAATCCCAGCTAGGAAACTGGAACACCCTGTAATCCAAAAATGGGAACCTGAGAACTACCATCATTTTTAATCAAGTTTTCTATTGCTGTGCTGGGTTCAAGGAGTAACAGAACTAACAAACTCTGAGCCACAAATTAAGCAAAAATGTCAAATTGATCATAATTCACATGCAATTAGCCAAATTTGAATCACTATAACTAAACAGATAACTCTAGGGTCAAAATGAGTTTTTTATTGCCACAACAATTACAGAATAAGCGGTTCCAAATGAATGCTAAAGACTGTTGACATGATTGCTTCCTTTCCCCTGGATTATCCTGTATAAAAATAAAGACAAAATTTGTGTAGCCTTGGAAGCAGGCTATGAC